CCAGGCCCACTGGGACGGCAACTCTGCTCCCTTGGCTTTAGGTGCACCATTCTCCTCGTCCATCAGAGTGACAACTCCACCCTTAGAAACACCAGAGGCCATGGCTCCACTCTTTGAAACCCACAAGGTCATGGCCATACCTTTTGAGGCTGAAGCAGCTCGGCTTGTGGCCCTTGTCTCTTCAGCTTCTGCTTCCTATGGCCTCTCGGACCTTGGGCCTCACACCCACATCTGCTCTGCTGGGGCAAGTGTTCCAAAGCTCAGCAGCTCCACCGGTAAGTGCCCAGAGGCACCCCGCTCCGCCAGGAAGCTTTCTGCGCACAGGCACTCAGCTCCCTCGCTCGGTGGGTCAGCAAGCCTAGCTCCACTGGTAAGTGCCCAGAGGCACCCTACTCCACCAGGAAGCCTCCTGCTCACAGGCATTCAGCTCTCTCACTCTGTGGGTTGGCTCCAGCGCCGTCTTTCACCAGTCTTCTGGTTCTGCTGCTGTAGGTTCTCTGCTGCTGCTGGTCCTCTGTCACTTCCGCACATCTATCCATTCAAAGTTTTAAAACCACTTCCACATTTTAGGTATCTGTTAGAGAAGCACCCCACTCTCTCGGTACCAAATTCTGTCTGAGAAATACCACAGGTGGATGGTTTTAATGAAGAGAAGTTTATTTCCTCAGAGTCAAAGTAGGCTAAAAGTCCAAATTCAGGGCATCAGCTCCAGGGGAAGCCTTTTTCTCTCTGTCGGCCTTCTTCTCGTCAGTGTTCCCCTGGACTAGGAGCTTCTCTGCGCAGGGACCCTGGTCCAAAGGACGCGCTTTGCTCCCGGCACTGCTTTCTTGATGGTATGAGGTCCCCCTGTCTCACTGCTCACTTCTGTCTTTTTTATCTCAAGAGATTGCCTCAGAACACAATCCAGTCTTATAGATCAGGTCCTGCCTTACTAACACAACTGCCACCCATCCTCTCTCATAAACGTCACTGAGGCAGGTTTACAATATACAGGAAAATCACACTGTACCAGGAATCGTGGCCTAGCCAAATTGATACACACATTTTTTGCGGGACATAATTCAAACTATGACAGGTACATACACACAATGGAGTACTATACAACGAGAAAGAACAATGATGAATCTGTGAAGCATCTCATAACATGGATGAAAGTGGAGGACATTATGCTGAGTGAAATAAGTTAATCACAAAAGGACGAATATTTTTTGAGACCTCTACTGTAAAAACCCATAAAAAGTTTACACACAAAAAGTAACGATCTTTGTTGGTGACAAGGGATAAGAAGGGTGGGGGGAAATACTAAACAGGCAATAGATAAGTGGCATCTTTGTTGAAGGGTGAGACAGTACACAATACCTGGGGAAGCCAGCACAACTTG